AACATAGAAGAAAAGCTTCAGGACAATAGATTTGACAATTATTTCTTGGCAATGACACCAAGAACACAGGCCACAAAAGTAAACATAGATAAACTGGACGACATTAACATGAAAACTGTGTATCAAAGGATACACTCAACACAGTGAAAAGGCAACCTACAGAATGGAAGAAAATATTTACAAATCACATCTCTGAAAAGCGGTTAATATCCATGATATATAAAGAACCCCACAACTCAACAGTAACAAAACCAAAATAACCCTATTAAAAATGTGCAAATGGACTCTCTCCAAAGAAGATACACAAATGGCCAACAAGCATATGAAAAGAATGCTCAAGATCACAAATCATTAAGAAATGCAAACCAGAACTACAAGGAGATACCACTTTGCACCCATTAGGATGGCTACTATAAAAACACAGAAAATAAATGTTGGCGAAAGTGTGGAGATATTAAACCCTCGTGCACTATGGCTGGGAATGTAAAATAGTGCAGTCACTGTGGAAACAATATTGTGGTTCCTCAAAAATTTAATAATAGAATTACCATATGATCTGGCAATGCCACTTCCGGGTATATGTTCAAAAGAATTGAAAGTAGGGTCTCAAAGAGACCTTTGTACAGTCATGTTCTTGGCAGCATTATTCACAGTAGCCAAAAGGTGAAAGCAACCCAGGTGTCCAAGGACAGATAAAAGGATAAACAAAATGTGGTCCATCCAAACAATGGATGTTATTTAGCTTTTAAAAGAAAATGCCACAACATGGATGAACCATGAGAACATATGCTAGTGAAATAAAGCAATCACAAAATACATATTGTGGCTGGGCAGGGTGGCTTACACCTGTAATCCCAGCACTTTGTGAGGCTGAGGTAGGAGGATTACTTGAGCCCAGGCGTTAGAGGCCAGTCTGGAAACATAGTGAGACCTCGTTTCCAGCTCTCCTACTTCCTAGTGGGGTGACCTTGAGCAAGTGATCTATTCCCTTGGGACCTCAGTTTCCTCATCTGTAAACAGGGATAATAACAGAATGGCCCTTACGGGTTTATGGTGAAGATTAAATGAAACAGTGTATATAAAAAACACTTAGAAGAATATTTTAGCTCAGTAGCAGGTGTTAAAATGCTTGTTATTATGCATAGAAGGATGGGCTCTGCACTTAGAAAGCCCTGAGTTCAAGTCCCACCTCTGCTGTGTTTCTGCTGTGCAACCTGGGACAAGTTTCTTTGCCTCTCTGAGGCTGCTTCCTATGCTGCAAAAATGAGTGTGATAAGCTCTACCTCAAAGGACTGACAAAAGATACTATTTGGCAAAATTTTCAGTGTGGTAGGATAACATTTTTGAAATTAACTGGGGTGTATGTGCGTGTGTGCTAAAAACACAGGGACCTGCTATGTTGCCCAGGCTGGAGTGCAGTAGTTATTTCCAGGCACCATCAAAGCATAATGCAGCCTTGAACCCCCGGGCTCTAGTGATCTTCCTGCCTCAGCCACCCCAGTGTCTGGGACAAGCACATGTTTGTATCGAATCATATTTCTTTCTACCTTTTGGCCCTTGGCCATCCCGCGCCCCCACTGTGACCCCTGTCACTGTCTCAGGAAAGGGATGTCATGCAGAAACAGAACAAGCTGGGGTTTTCAAAGGAAGAAAGATGTGAGGAAATGGCCAGGGCTCTGGTAAGACTGTGAGTCTGGGAGCGGAGGGGAAGAGGAAGTTTGTCGGCTTCCCTCCTGTCAGTAGGAGCCTTGCCCAGCTTCTCTGGGAGTCTTGAGGAATGGGCAAGTCCCCGAGAAGATGCTGGTTCAGGGGGTATCTCTGAGAGCTCCTCAGAATCAGTGCAACCCTGAGAGAGGGAGGGGAGAGTTCTGAGAGCCCTGAGTAATGGAGTCTGTGACATTTCCCCCCAGTGCACCGAGGGCTCGAAAGAACCTTGAGCTGAGACAGCAGTGCATGCCCACTTGCTAGGCACTCATGACAGAGCAGTGATTAGTCATTCTCGGGTTCACAACCCCGTTCCGGAAGTCCTCTTTTCCTGAAGCTCATCGTCCCTGCACGGTCCCAGACAGCCTGACCACAAATCCCAGCCCTCTGTGCCCTTCATACGTGACCTTGGGCAGGCTCCTTAGTCTGTCTGTGCCACAATTGCCTCATCTGTAAAATGGGGAAAGGGATAACCCTACCTTGCAGGGTTGCTGAAAGGATTAAACGAGTTAATACACACAAAAGTGCAAAGAACAGTGCCTGGCACAAAGTAAACCCACAGCAATGCGAATGATAGCATCATCCTCTTAGCTCATCCACCATCTTTCTCCACTGTCCCTGGCAGTGACCCTACTGACTCCTCTGAGAAGCTCTCAACATCCCACAGTATTGCTTCCCTCTCCATGGCCAGAGTCCAGGCAAGAGATGGTAATAACTGTGGTTGGCAGAACGGTCCCTCAAAGGTGTCCATGTCCTGATCCCTGGAACCTGTGAGTGTGCTGCTACCTTACGTGGCAGAGGGATGGTGCAGATACGATAACGATGACTAATCTTGAAACAGGGAGGTTAACCTGGATTATTCAGAGGGGGGCTAATCCAACCACGTGAGCCCTTAAAAACAAAGAACTTTCTCTGGCTGGAGTTGGAGAGATGAGTCAGACGGGGAGGTCAGAGAAATCTGAAGCATGAGAAACACTGGGCCCATTGTTGCTGGTTTTGAAGATAAAGAGGCCAGGAGCCATGTGGAATTGGGAGGCCTCTGAAGCTGAGGCTGGCCTCCAACCGACGGCCAGTGAGGACACGGAGGCCTCGGTTATATAGCAGCATCGAGCTAAATTCTTCCAACAAAGTGAGTGGGGCTAGAAGCAGACAATCCCCTGGAGCCTCCAGCCAAGAGCCCAGGCAGCCAACACTTTGATTTTGGCCTTGAGTGACCTGGGGCAGAGGAACCAGCTGAGTCCACCCAGACTTCTGACCTCCAGAACTGTGAGATAATAAATATTCACTGTTATAAACATAAAAATGAATACAATAACCAAAATGTACTGCAGTATGGACCACCTGCCAGATACTGTCCTGAGCACTTCATGGTAATTCAGTCTTGTAACGCAGTTCCCCGCCACACACACACAGAAGTTGCAGCCGAAAATGGCTGGGTGACTTGCCTGGAACCCTACAACTCAGAGGGCAGAGCCAGGAGGCCTAGCACTGAGTTCATGCTCTTGACCACCCTGTTCTGGAGCCGCCCTGCTGTTCTTTGTCCACCCATTCTCCCTACGCTTATCAGTGTTCTCTTCAAAAGAACAATTAATTTCTCTCCGGCTCAAAGCCTTTTGAGGAGGGGGCTCCATTTTTGCAGCAAGTTAAACATGAAACACTTAGCCTAGCTTAGGTGGCCTTTTTGCATGTGAGTGGCAGGGCCATCCAGCCCTCATCATGCCATGCCAAGTGCTTCACGCAACACCTCCAGATCTTTCTGTGCACTGTTTCTTACACCTGGCAGGGAGAGGGGGGCCCTTTCTCGCCTGCCATGCTGGGCAAAACCAGGCTTTCTCTTGTAAGAGGCAGTTCCCGCTTGGTCGGCTCCGAGGAGCTGTCCCCAACACCGAGACAGGGTCCTCTATGCAGGCCCCAGCGCACATCTTCCCAGGAAAACACCTGCAGCCTGGGTCGACCTTTCCTCTTTACCCCAATCCCACACTAGAGGGCGCCACCTCAGTTTGTTGCATCAGTGAGGATCACAAGAAAAGTGATTTTCACTGTTCCGCTTATAATCCTCACCTAGCAGTTCAAACTGTGGAATTTCCCACTACCGATTATCTTAATTGACTCACAAGGAATTTCAGATATTTAGATTTTTAGATGTTCCCTAAAGCCAAATTTACAACCAAACAATGAAGCATCTTTGTCTAGAAGCATTGCATCAGACAGCCCAAGTCTGAAACTCAACCTCACCATCCCCGACTAGATGTGTGATTTGGAGCAAGTTATTTAACCTTTCGGAGCCCCATTTCCACATCTTTACATGAGGATAATAATGATAGCAGTAGTTCTTGCCTGACAGGGCTGTTTGAGGATGCAGCTCTGTAACACATACACAGCATACACATAGAACACATATAAAACCACACGAGATGCCTCATAAGTAGCCTATACATGGGGGTGTGGCTGTTTGTATTATCTGTGCTAGTCAAAAGAACCTTGAGCTGAGACAGTAATGTGTCTCAAAAGATTATGATCTTCTACCTCACACTCATTAGGATGGCTATCGTAAAAACAACAAACCCCAGAAAATACCAAGTGCTGGCGAGGATGTGGAGAGACTGGAGCCCTTATGCAGTGTTGCTGGGAAAGCAAAATTGCGCAGCCACTGTGGAAAGCGGTATGGCAGTTCCTCAAAACATTAAAAATAGAACTGTCATCTGATCCGGCGGTTCTGCTTCTCTTCTGGGTATGGACCTGAAAGAATTGAAACCAGGGGCTTGAAGAGATATCTGGTGATGGCTCACACCTATAATCCTAGCACTTTGGGAGGCCGAGGAGGGCGGATCACCTGAGGTCAGGAGTTCGAGAATAGCCTGGCCAGCATGGTGAAACCCTGTCTCTACTAAAAATACAAAAATTAACTGGGCATGGTGGTGCATGCCTGTAGTCCCAGCTGCTCAGGAGGCTGAGGTAGGAGAATCACTTGAACCCGGGTGGCAGAGATTGGCAGTGAGCTGTGATTGTGCCACTGCACTCCATCCTGGGCAACAGAGCGAGACTGCATTAGAAAGAGAGAGAGAGAGAGAGAGAGAGAGATCTTTACAGTCATGTTTATAGCAGCATTATTCACATCAGCCAAAAGCTGGAGGCAACCCAAGGGTCCATTGACAGATGAATGGATCAACAAAATACAGTACAGATATGGAACAGCCACTATTCAGCCTTAAAAAGGAACTCTGACACACGCTGCGACAGAGGAACCTTAAGAACATTATGCCAAGTGAAATAAGCCAGTCGCAAAACACACGTACCATATGATTCAACGTCTACGAGTAACCTGCAACAGGCAAATTCAGAGACAGACAGTACTTTCTGTCAGAAAGATGGTGGCTGCCAGGGCCTGGGGGGCTGGGAGGGAAGGAGAATGCTTCCTCAGTAGGAACAGAGTTTCAGTTTTGCAAGATGAAGAGAGCTCCTGCGGATGGATGCTGGTGGCAGAGCAACAATGTGAGGCCGGGTGCGGCGGCCTGCACCTGTAATCCCAGCACTTTGGGAGACTGAGGCAGGTGGATCACCTGAGGTAGGGAGTTCGAGACCAGCCCGGCCAACGTGGCAAAATCCCGTCTGTACTAGAAATACACAAATTAGCCAGGCGTGGTGGTGCATGCCTGTAATCCCAGCTACTCAGGAGGCTGAGGCACGAGAATCACTTAAATCTGGGAGGCAGAGGCCACAGTGAGCCAAGATTGTGCCACAGCACTCCAACCTGGGTGACGGAGCGAGTGAGACTCTGTCTCCCCACCCACCCCCCCACCAAAAAAAAAATATATGAATGCAATTAATGCCACTGAACTGTACACTTAAAATGGCGAAGATGTACATTTTACATTATGTGTATTTAATAAAAAGAGAGATGATGATCTAGTCCTTTTCTTGGAACTTCTTCCTCTTGCAAGGCCTCCATGTGCTGAAGGGAAAGCAGGCCCATGCATTGCTGTGTTGGGAACTGACCAGTGATGTCAGGGGAGAGAAAAGTTCCCTGAGGACTGGCGAGATCAGACGAGGCACATCACAGAGCACAGAACGCCTGGTGGGGAGCCAGGGCTGAGTGTGTGAGCACAGCTGAGGCGGGACGGTGAATGGGCGCATCCTGATGAGACGGCGGGCAGCTGGACATCCCCCAGGCCTGCTTCTTTTGGTGGATTTCATCACAGGACCGGGGAGGGGGGAGCATCTTTATCCAGGTCCATGTCCACCTGTCACCTTCTCTCTCAAAACTTGAGGGGTTCACACATACCATGGGAAATGTGAATTAAAATGCCACGGATACCATGTTTCGCCTCTTAGATAAGCAGAAATTTGTCAGGTAGGTCACATGCTCCACTGGGGAGAGGAGGGGGTGCCCCCACTGCTGCTGGGGAACTGACCCTGTGAGCCTTCACTGGAGGGCAGTGTGGCGATGCCATCAGAGCTGCAGCCATACATGCCCTTTGACATGGCACATGGGCTCGCGTGTCCGTGAAATGATGAGTAAAAGGTATTCAGTGCAGCATTGTTTCATGATAATAAAAAAGACTTTGATGCAGGCTCTTATAGTTCTTACAGGCAGCCCAGAAATGGCAGGTGCAAAGGGATCCGACTCGTTGGGTTGGAAGGTTCTGTTGCGTTTGTTAGATCACTCCTGCGCCCCGACCCTCTGATCCCATATGAGAAGGGGCTGACGTGCCATAGAGAACATTTCCCCTAGAGAGAAAGGAGTCAATTAGCAAGATGCTATCCACAAACGCAGAGGAGCAGGCATGAGCATTTCACCCGCATCCCCCTGCAGTTTCTGTCCTTTGCTTTCCTCCATGATCTTCATCCTCCTAGCCACAGCACTGCATTGACTCGGGCTGCCCTGCAAGTCAATTGTAAAGGGAATCCTGAAACCTCCTCGGTGCAGGGCAGGGCAGGGCAGGGCGAGGTCCTAAGGAGAAGATCAGCTCTCCACTCTTCTTCTTCTTTTTTTTTTTTTTTTTTTTTTTGAGACACAGTCTCGCTCTGTCGCCCAGGCTGGAGTGCAGTGGCACAATCTCAGCTCACTGCAATCTCCCAGGTTCAAGCAATTCTCCTGCCTCAGCCTCCCAAGTAGCTGGGATTATAGGCGTGTACCACCACACACGGCTAATTTTTGTATTTTTAGTAGAGGTGGGGTTTCACCATGATGGCCAGGCTGGTCTCGAACTCCTGACCTCAAGTGATCTGCCCGCCTCAGCCTCCCGAAGTGTTGGAATTACAGGCCTGAGCCACCGTGCCTAGCCAGCTTTCCATTCTTTAACCTTTGCTTCTCTTTTCCTTAAAACAAAGTATATTGAAATAGTACACACACACACACACACACACACACACACAAAAAGAGTGAACAGGAGCTCCCCTGGCATCAGAAGAGGAGAAGCTGGAGTCCCTGGAGATGGAGCAGTGAGAGGGAGGGCAGCATTAAGGCAGGGCTCTCAAGGTTCGGTCCTGGAAGCATCTCCGTGGGGACCCTCACCAGAACCTGCAGAGCAGAGAAATGGACAGATTCCCGACCTCGCCTAACCCCACTGCATCAGAAAGCCTTGGGATTCATGTTTAACAATCACACTCATGCACATGAAAAACCCAGCAACCACTGGCTTGTGACATTGCTGCATTCTGGAAGAATTAAGTCCCTTTCTTATCAGTGTTCAAGTAACAGCCACATCCAACTATAAACATTCAGTTCAAAAACCACATCAAATTATACAGATTATAACCAGAAGGTTTAGCTCTGAAATGAGCAAGGCTGGTGGCTGAGGTATTCCAGCACTGTCCAATGTAGGCAGGGGTAGGGGTAGATTCTGAAAGGAGCTCCTGATTTCTGCACAAGGCAGCCAGGGAGCCCATTTCAATAGGCAGGTCTTCCACTTGCTGAAAATTCATCAGTGGCATCTTCCCATTGTTTTTCAGATAAAGACCAACATTCTTACGGTGGCAGGAAGGAGTCTTGCCTGCCTTTAGCTCTCCCCCTTCCCACTCTGACCTCCACATACTGGTTTTCTTTCAGTTCATCAGGCTCGCCATATGCTCTACCACCCCAGGGCCTTTGCACACACTGTTCCCTCTCCCTTTGTCTAGTTAAGTCCTTCTCATGCTCCATATTCCTTTCCTTTAGAGCCCTGACATAAGCTTGAAACCATCCAGGCTCTGCAGATCCTCTGACCTGTGTGTCTCTCCTAGCAGCTTCCTGATTGCAGGACCATGTGAGTATCCCCAGGCTTACCTCTGTGCTGGGGTTCCAGGCAAAGTCTGTGGAATGAATGAGTGATGATACGGGCAAAAACCAGGCTGGCTAAAACAGGCTTCCTATAGCCATTAGGAAACCAAACTCCTTTCATGATACAGAAAAAAAAAGTCTGGAGGGCAAAACTCTACAAATATCAATGTTGACTGTCTCTGAGTCATATGATTACAAGTGATTTTTATTTTCTTCTTTACAGTTTGCTTTCTCCCAATTTTTTTTAAAAACAATAGGTACATAATTACCTTCTATTATCAGGATATGTGAACGTATGTGAACAATGTCAGATTATAATATCAATAAGCAAAAAAAAAAAAGTCAGCTTTACAAATGAATACATTAATAAATCTTTAGAAGCATAGCTCCCTATTCTTTAGGATTTATCTAAGTAAATAAACAATCTTCTCTCTTTGTTAGGTGTAAATGCTGGATAATTTCACAGCTGATTTTTTTTTTTTTTAAGATTCCTGAACTTTAGTTAGTGGAATGACTTCTAACAGCACAAATAAGACAAATGATAAATTGACTGTTGAATTATTACTCAGGGTGGCTTATAGCTGATCAAGCATGATTCTCGGGTTAATCAGAAAGGCCCAGTGAAGGCAGAAGAGGGGCAATTTTCACCTTGTCTTATAAAATATTTTCTGAAAAATATGGACACACCTGTAGGTTTCAGTTCTTCAAAACAGACCTGTGTCCCCCACATCCCTTCTTAAAGCAAATCTCCTCTCCCAAATCGATTTAAGCTTTGGGAAGAGGATTTGTCTAAGAGAAGATATAAAAGCCCATTAAAAGTCTATTCACAAAGCATTTGGCAACTCATGTATCATCTGTTCTCTTGGGAGTCAGTGCAAGCTCATGCTTCTGGAAATGCAACTGATTCCTTCATAAATCAGTGGAACTGTTGCTGACAGTGGTGACTTACTTTTTAAACTAAGGCCAAGGAGCAGTAAGCAGTCAATTATTTTTATACAATCAATGCTACTCAATTTGTGTCTATATATATAATAATTGTCCTCATCAGTTCCCATTTCCAAATAGCTTGTTAGTATCAGTGGATAACCCGCCTTAACCCTGTGAACAAAAATTCTGTCTCCACTTTACGCGACCATAATAATGACTGTGGTGTCATCTACTTCGTACCATATGCCAGGTACTTTATATGCATTTTCTCATTTAATCCCTACCTCCCTGTGAAATAAGCGGTTTATAGATGGAGAAAATGAGCTCAGCATGATTAAGTAGTTTGCTTGAAGTCACACAGCCAGAAAACGGTCTAAGAGATTCAAATCCAGGTCTACCTCCAGAACCTGTGCTTTTAAAAATTACTACAGTTTTCTAATATCATAGTCCAGTTCAAAACAGGGATCACTGTCTCTTCCTTGGCCACCCAGAAAGTAAAACTACCTTAAATTTATCCCTTGTTACGATACAGAAGAAACTACAGTTCTTTTTATTTGATTTTTCCACTTTGTACACTGAACGGTTTTCTGTGTCCTTGTAGAGAGACCATGTCACAGATGAGAATCTCAAGGGAAGGTATGTTGAGTTATTTTAAAATCGATTGTGTTTATAACTCTTAGAAAACTAGAAATGCAGGGGGAATGTTCTCCCTTTGATAAAGAACACCTATATAAAAAAAAAACCCTACAGCTAATATAACATTTAATGATGAAAGACTGAATACTTTTCCCTTAAAATCAGGAACAAGGCAAATATAAAGATTTACACTGCTCTCACCACTCTTATGCAACAGAGTACTGGAAGTCTCAGCCAATGCAATATCTTAAGAAAATAAAATTAAAAGTGTACAGATCAAAAAGGTAAAAATAAAACTGTTTTAATTTGCAGATGACATGGTAACATCCTAAGCAGGCAACAAAAAACTTCCAGAAAGTTCAGTTAAGGTTGCAAGATACCATATAAGCATACAAAAATCAATTATGTTTCTATACACTGGCAATGAATAGGTGGCCACTGAAATTTAAAGTATAATACCATTTACCATCACAAACAAAAAAGGAAAAATTAAGTACTTAAGTATAAATCCAGCAAAACATGTGCAGGATTTGTATGCTGAAAGCTACAAAGTATTCATGAAAGAAATCAAAGAAGACCTAAATCAACGCAGAAACATACCATGTTCATGGATTGAAAAACCACATAGTAAATATATAAATTCTTTCCACATCGATGTATAGATTTAAACACAATTTCTATCAAAATCTCAGCAGGACATTTCATAGATACAGACTTATTCTAAAATTTATATGGAAAGGAAAAGG